AAGGAATGGAAGGATTGGAAGGTAAGAAACCACAAAATAACCGTTGAAATCGCATCGTTGAGCCAAAGGAGTCGAGCTCACTTGGGAGAGCAGTGGGATTCTGGGTCTCTGTTGTCGATGGTTCAGTGTTGGTATTTGTTAATTCTCAGCGACTTCAAGAACAACAAGTTCAAATTATAAAATAAAATAAAATGCTGTCTGTTTAATAAATAGAGGCCTGGAGGGAAATCACCTGAAGGTTTCCTCCTGTCTGTTTGTTATATTGTCATTAGCAGTAAATATCACAGTATATGTTTTCTGTTTAAAAAGTACAAACAGAGGAAGATAGCACATAGTACAACTCTGCACTCTTTAAAGTGGTTAAGTTTCCAGTCTGATCTGGAGCTCACAGCTGATGAATTAATGACATTACGTCATTTATTTATTTATTTCATTTATTTAAATGATGTTCACAGACATCACAGCAGAGTGCTGTACTTTAAATCAATATAGAATCAGCCTCAATAGCAGCTTCAGTGTCATCTGTAGCGGCCTCCATTGTTGTGATTATTACTGCGCAGTTTTATCCCGCACCTGGCTCTGATTGGCTAATCGTTAGTCCCTCCCCTGTGCTTATTCGTCAATTACTTTTTCATGGAGGAAAACGCTGTTGTTCGCCTGTCCCGATGCCAGATGAATCTGTCGGTTCAAAGTTCTGGACCCAGATAAAGAGATAAGGGCAAGAGAGGTAGAATGTCAGAGGAGCATAAGCTAACAAAGGATGTCCAGACCAGTTAGTTTGGGTTAGAGGGGAGGCGACCAGGAGAGTCTTGGGGCAAACCCTAAAGTAGAAGAAAGACCATTATTAACAGATGTTCTGATACAAAAGTTGGGACATATCATGCATATTAGATGACTTTCCCAAAACATCAATATTTATGCTGCCAAATGACATCAAACATGACAGTGGAAATGGATGTTATGACATTTGTATTGTTTTAATAAATGTCAGCAGTATCATTTAAAAACAAAACGTGGTGCAATGAAAATACACAAAACTTTGCAATACAGGAATTTACTATATGTTAACGAATCTGTGTATCTTGCAGCATGAGGAAGCCTCTCTAGCAATGTTTGACGACATGGTGGAGGAATGTAACCTGAAGAAGGAGATGTATGAGTATGAGGATAAGGACAAGAAGAAGACGAAGAAGAATCTGCTGGACATTGACCTGATGTTCATCAAAGACATGATTAAAGGACAGGTACTGTGTCTGAGTGAATTGTGTAGAATTAGTCAGTTATCATCATCATGGCTACAGCAGCCATTCTAATGCCACTGCTGTCTGTCATCTCTGCAGCCATCTGAAGGCCATCCAGAAGAAAAGTCCTTCCTCTATGAAATCGTGGCCAACAAAAGAAATGGCGTTGATGTGGACAAGTTTGACTACCTTGCCAGGTGGGGCTTGTTGAACGGCGACTGTAGATGAACTACAACGTATTATCTTAAGGTAAGAAACATTCTCATTTCATATTCCTCACTCTGTCTCTTCTCAGGGACGCCTACCACCTGGGCATCAAGACCAACTTTGACCATCTGCGCTTCATCAAGTTTGCCAGAGTGTGTGAGGTGGACGGGCAGAAGCAAATCTGTACAAGAGACAAGGTGCTGACTTTGCAATTTCTTCTTTTTCGATCACTTTTTAAAACAGCAAACTATTTCAGGGTCCAACAATAAGGATTGCCCGATGAGATACGTTACTACGATGTCACAATATGATAATTTAATATCACAATTATCAGAGAAAATATGAATATGTTTTACGGTTTTAATTATTATTAACCAGAATATTTGTAATCAGCCTGTAGCTAACGAACTAAGATATGAATAATCAACTTTTCCCTTTACTTTGTTTAAGACATCATTACGGGTTATTTACATAAAAACACAATTCAAATGATTAGGAAATAAACATTTATATTTTTATTGCTAAAAACATCTAGTCATTAGTTTTAATGATGTATTATACGCTGTTTAGAGCAAGTGAGAGGAAGTTAAACGGGTCATAATTCATCTTTAATATCTATTTTATATTGCTGTGAAACATCTCCTTCAAACAACTAGATTCATTTGTTCAAGTTTCTCACCAAAACTACATGTTACTCGATTACATTTGAACACATCGTGATATCATTTACTTTAGTTAAATTTACATTTTTACTGAATGGAGCTTGAACGCACAAAGTGTTCTGTTAGCTGCCAACGTTACGAGCTTTCCTCTCGATTCAACACTTTATAAGAGAAGTGACTAGAAAGCATCAATGAAAATCTTCCAGATCGGATTAATAGATCTCTTAATCTAGGCCGACGATTGTCAGAAAAACATTTTTTTTCACACCATGAAATGGTGAATGGCATGTCATGAAAAACGCGAAATTCGCCTCATTCGCGTATTTGCGCGAGTTGGAATTTTTTAACTTGACCGAGAAATTTGCTTGTGGCAAAAGCCTATCAGCGCTGAGATGCTCCTCCTGTCATCACTGACGTCATGCTGTTGTTGAATCAGAAAACAAATCCTGTAGCCGTCTGTGTTCACCCAGAGCTCTGCGACACCTCATATTAGCAGAGAGCAAACTATGTGTATACATGTGTGTGTATATATCATATGGAACAAACAATGAAAACAACACTGCCGTATTTACGCCTATATGACGTTATTGTGAGTGTTGATGGAGCTGCTACAATGTTAGCTTAGCATAGCAACGATCGATCCGAGCTCCATTCAGAAAACAAGTATTTTAAAAGTTATTTACTTGTCGTCTTGTGGAGAGAACTAACAAAACATGAATTCAAACTTTTTACAAATCGACATTATGATGTAGTTATTTCGGCATCTTTTTTTGTCCGTTTATTGCCGTTAAATCACAGAAAAATCTTTTTATTTTGGGTTCAT